TTTAATCACAAAAGAACAGAATTTTGTACCTCAGATTGCATTCCAACGGATTATTCTAAAACAAACACACTAATTATTTCTATTTCTAACTCCGCATTTCTTTATTTTTTAATTCTTAATTGTAGTTTAATTAATTCACCTGTAGATAAAAAAATTGTAGATACTGTTAATATGAGTAATAAGAATATTGTAATTAATCCCACCACTTCCGGTATTTCTGTAGATTTAGATTACCCGCTTTTACCAGATCATGCTAGTCTCGTTAAAAAATACCGCGAAAATTTGAAGTTGCCGGATTGACCCTTAGATTTAAATATTTTATTTAACGCCAAGTTAGTAGCTCTCTTGACAGAAGACGATCCCATGTTGAATCCAATTGTTAAAGCACTTCAAAATAAGGTGGAGAAGATTAATGCAAATTCCCCCTATTTCAAACATTTCACCCGAGACCTACGCGAATCCGACGGATTACTTTACATGGACGGTAAACTCGTTATTCCATTTACCTTAAGAAACGCGATGATGAAGACCCTCCACGAAACTCATCCAGGTCAATTCGGAATGAAGTATTTGGCCCAATACATCTGGTGGCCTCATATTAACAGGAAAATTTACTTCCACGGAATAAATTGTTCAAAGTGCACATCGGCGGGTAAGAACTTGAAAACGGTCATTCTTAATTCACAAATTAGTGAACTTCCTCCATTATCGGAACCAAATGAAGAACTTAACCTAGATTTCGCTGGTCCTTTGGATTTCCCGTCGGCAAAAATTACATCTTCTACCTCTACAAAAACAGTTATTGAATTTTTACAAGACTATATATTCTTGCACGGGATACCTTATTCAATAATGTTAGACCACGCCACTTGCTTTACAAGCCAAGATTTTAAATTATTCTGTGATTCCAACAACATCAAAATAATTTTTTGTACAGTAGGCGACCACCGTTCCAATGGATAAGTCGAAAAATTGGTACACACTGTGAAAATCAAATTACTGGCTATTTCAAAAGAACATCACAAATGTACTCTGCAAAACGCCGTTTCAAAAATTATCTGGAATTTACGTTCAACTTACCAATCAAAAATTAAATGTTCGCCTTTCGAAATCCACTATAACAGAAAACCAAATACAATTTGGAAACAATTAGCTTCTGGTAAACCCTCCTTTGGAATTTTAGACAAAAGGAAATCAATACTGTCTAAGGAACGGGCAAAGGACTGGAACGCAGATGATAGACTAGAAGACGGTTACAAGGACAGTTTGATAGCGAAAAAGAACCAAACCCCTACCGAAAAAGGCTATGACACGGACTACGCCTCATCCTCGAAAATCACGCCTAATAGATTACCAATCAAAAGTCACTTCAAAGGTAGAATCCTTCAGAAAACTAACGGTAGCATCAACCGAGACTGTTTCTATAAGGAACTAAACAAAAGAATCATAAATTCATCCACCTCGGCAGTAGAACTATCCGACGGAAAAATAATACGAAAATCCGACATTGCGTTCCCTATTTCTACATCAAATAAAATCAGACCTTTTAAAGGTAATATGTCATTCCCGTACTTTCCTAATCCTAATGTTGAAGTAGGTCAGAAACAAGAAGGCCCAAGATGAAGACCAAAAACGAAAAAGCCAATGAAAAGAACTAGCAGACAAGTGGAACAGGACCCATCTGACAATCTTACAAGGACACGTGTATCAGGGTCATCATACAAACCTTCCAGAAGACAAACTCGCCGCTCAAAGAAGTCGTCAACCCCTCCAGGTTACCTTGCTTCGGATGAATCTATGCTAATTCCTTCGGATATTTCGGATACTAGCGAATGGGAATGGATAGCGGACGGTTTTCCTTGTAGAGATGTAGCCAGAGAGCGCTTTATTTCAGATTCACTTACACCTCATTTCTCAAATAGAAATGATCCTTATTCTGGCTTAACCAAACCTGAAATAAAATCTGAGATTTTAGAAGACGACACTGACCCGAATAGAGAGCAACTTATAGACCAGTCTTACGAGTGTCCAATAAGCGTTATCCCGGCTCGTCGAACCCTTAGTACAACGGAACAGAGAACCGCGACCCAGGGAGAGGATGAACTTACCACCAAACAACGGGATTTACAAGACGAGTGTAATCCAACGGACTTTGATTCAATCACAGACTTTCCGGTCTACGAAATAAACGATTCAACAGACGAGTGCACTCCACCTCTCAATCCCACCAACATACCCGGTAAAATTCCTCCCACCATCCGCCGTTCTAGTAGAAATGTTGGCCCATCAAAAATTTACGGTCAAAGATATTTTATAGATGCCGTAGAAATTTCTCAAGAAACCTCTGGTTCAGCGGCCGATTCCATCGTGATAGAAATAGATGATACTCACGAGACTGATAACAACACGGCTCCGGCGGAGTTAATTGTGCTAGATTCCGATTCACCATCTCCGGACCAAACATCCACCCCATCAACTGACGAATCACTGAGGATGGAATTAGAAAATTTTGGAGAGCATTCCGAGCTTGACAGTGAACTTTTTAACACAGAACTAGAAAACTTCTTAAATGAATACAGAAATTTGTAATCACCAAGCAAAATTCCAACCGTTAACTTTCTTATCATTGAGTATTTCCTACTTTACAAACCGGTGCTAAACTACATGGAACTGAAAGCTTTTGAGTACATGAATCCCCACAACTAATCAATTCATTCGAATAAATTATCAGTATTTGGAAATATCATACCATACTCATAAATTATTGTTCGGATTTACATCTACTTAGCGCGATTAAATTCAGTGCTTTCATTTAAAACCCGGTGATAACTTCGTCATATTTTATCTTTTTATCTTACTTCGCTCTTATCCGTCGGATAACCGGATAACCATTTTTTCCATTTCCATCGTAGCAGTATTTAGTGCTTTAGGGGTGCTTTAGTTACCCATTTTGCGGCGCTTTAAATTCTTTTCCTCGTCCTTAAAGGGGGAGAAAGGACTCTGGTTCAGTTAGTTCTTATTCTTTACTTTTAAACGTAATTTAAGATTTTTTCCTGCTTAGAGGAATGTTGTGATGTACACCATGTTTTGCATCTGTTGCAAAACGTATTCAGTCTAATTAACTGGTCACTCCTATATGACCTTCATTGGCCATTCTCTCCGGCGGAGAGAATGATCGCTCATTGTTTTAATGTTTTAACTTACCGACTAATTCATCTTAATTCTTATTCTTTTTAATAGTTTTAACTTAGATTTAGCTACAACAAAGTAACATTTTATCAATTCTTGAAACTTTCCAAAAAGTGCCTAAAAACGCCCTATTTTGGCCTATATAGGGTCTGTATGGTGATTTGGGAGAGCTCAGAAAATCAATTTAGTCGACCCAAAAAAAAGTCGACAAAATTTTCAAAATTTTTTGAAAATCCGCCCCCCCCCCCGAGAAATTCCTAGATCCGCGCCTGCCCTGATACCAGTATTCTTTTTTGTAATTATGCAGGCGAAATAACTTTTTAAATCTGGTATTGTCGTTATAAGTTTGATAAATTTTCTTGACCTCTCTCTTTTTCTTGACCTTTTGATCATTTTTCTTGACCTAGAATGGAAAAAAGCAACGGCATAGTGTCGGTTTTTCCAAACCTATTTTCAGCCACCTTTGGCTATGTCAAGGAAAGCTTGAAGGTGGTCAAGTTTAGTATCATATTTATTTGATAGGAATTTGACAAGCAGCAGACCATAAAATTAAATTCTCAGTTTTAGCAAAAAATTAGCTTATAAAACTCTTATTAGTCGCTCTTTTTTCAACTAATTCAATTGCTTTCTACCGAAAAAATAGAGGTTATTTTGGAAACAAATCCAATGAAAATTGAAATAATTAAATAAAATTTTTATATTTGCAAACTGTTTTTTTTCTGCAAAAACATTGTGATCAAAAAGACTGTGTTATTCTATAGCATCCGGCTATCCATGATGCGAAAAGTTTTGAATTGTCTGGAGAAAAACTATGCCGAGCACAAATTGTTTGCCACTTTCTCGGGAGTCTGGCTCGTAAGACGAAAAAAGTTAAAAAGCTGAAGTTTTCGTTGAAATGCTGGTCAACTTTCTTTCAAGTTGACCACGCTGATTTATCAAACTCTCTTAGAACCCCGTTATTTATAGGCTATATGTTAAAATAATTTCGCACACGACGGTTTTGGACACTGTTTGAAACTTTTGACGTTTTCTTGGCGCCTGCTTTTTCCTCAAATGGGGTAACTATGTTAAAAATGGATGTCGTTGATAAAACCAAAGGTGGGCCTTTTGTGTAGCCTGTCGTCGAACTGCTGAGGCGTTCCCAGATTGAACAGGCAGCGGAAATCAAAAAAATTTCAATTAAGCTCCAGAGCAATACCAGACGCTGCAACTGAAACTTTATAGCTCTGATCTAGAGACTAACAATGTTCATCTAACTTCAAGAAGTGCGCAAACTTGATATCATCATCCGATAAAAGTGAACGCAAAAATTTTCTGCTGAGCACGGTATTGTTTTCTGGGATTCGTGACAACTCGAAAGTTTTAAATGGTAGACCAGAATTTTTTTTTTCAATGCATTAATTTTCCATCGAAGCAAAAAATTTGAAGTTAAGCAAAAATAAAAAAAATTAATTAAAATATTAAAAATTTTAAATTATTACAGAATAAAATTATTTTCGCTTCTCAAACTTTGAATTTGTCCACAAAATCCGAAGGTCGTCAAAAAGTCTTCTCGTTTGAGTTGTTGCCTGTCGTCTGAATTAATATAAACCCATCTTTATTCAAGCCAACTCAATTATTTTTGTTCTGTATTTTGCCAAAATCAATTTCCACGGTTATTTGTTTTCGATGATAAACTTTTCGAATTTAGTCAATACTTTTTTCCTCGATTGAGAAAAAACCAATTTTACATCGAAAAAGGCAATTTGTTTCGTATCCATTCATTGGGATAAAAACAAGCGAAGCCAACAAAAGTTTTTTTCCCTGTTTAGTCAAGCGGAAACGATCCCTGATGACAGAGGGAAAAACAAATAAATAAACAACACAATAAATCAACCACGCGTTGTTTTATATTGACGTTGCTCAAATTACATTGATGGTAGAAATTAGGCGCATTTCTATTCGTTCAGGGAGCACAGGTAAATCATCAAATTTTTCACTTCTTTTCAAAACGAACAAAAACACGTATTAAATTACTTTGATATACCGAAAAACATTTAACTTAAACTTTACTTTCAATTACATAATTGTTCCGACTTTCGGTACGAAAGTAACGGAATATTTGTGCTCGGGGTGGGTTTTTTTTTTTCTTCAGACAAATTTCGACTTTTTAACTAGCCATTTTTTACGGAATTTTTTTTATATCATTCGAAAGGTATTGTTGTCCTGAGCTCAAATTTGAAAAGATATTTCACCTGTGATCATTTTTCGTAAAGTTACGGGGGTTTAAAGATTGCCATTTTGGCCAATTTGGGACAATTAACGCGCGATATATTTCGCGCTATTAACGCGTAAGCGGAGAGTTAATCCGTCTTAGAAATCGTTGAAAGAAGCCAAATTGGTTGAAAGAAGCCTAATTTTCTTAATTGGTTTGCTACAAGGAGCAAGTTAGATTCTTTGTACTGTATATGGCGTGTGGGGGGATGGTTTTCATAAAAAATTTTAGAAAAATTTTTTTTCATTTTTTTTAAATTTCATTAAATTTTTTAATTTTATTACTGCTCCATAAACCTTAAAAGGCAGTCCGAACATTCAGGGCTTCGCCCTGATACGAGCAGTCTTGTTCATTTTCTCTCTGATTGGATCTTTCATTCAGTCATAAATAATTCCATCTGTAATTAAGTTTGACTTTTGATTTAACTTGTTTCGTCTAGAACAATTCTACATTTTGACCTCTTAATGGTACAAATCTAGCCGTTATGTCATACTGTGTAACCGTCAGTGTTATGGTTAAAGATCTAATAAGTGGCCCGCCCGTTTTTAATATGAAAATAGGTATTCAATTTGTCATTCATTATTTCTGAAAAAAAACCATTTTCCTGCTGGCAGCCAAGTCGCTATTTTCACAGGTAAAATCTGTCAGCAGTAGAATAGATTGTATGACCAACATAAGTAATTTAGCAACCCAACTCGTTTGTATACTTTAATAAACCAATAAGCGGGCTGTGTTTTAGTTAACTACCCAAAAGCAATAAACTGTTTTATTAATTTGGCATTTTAGTTAATTTATTGTTCCCAAATGCCTAATATGCCAGAAGTTCAGCTAGCCTTCAGCACACCAATTGACACTTCGATTTGAAGTCATGCCAGAAAAAGAGCCGACAATTTTGCAACCAGACGAAAGTGCACTTGACCGAAAGTCGGAGCGGAATATCTCCCAACGGCAGCTGCTGAAACTTCCTCGACCGTTTGGTGAGTTTTTACTCAGATTTGTGAACCAATACTTTTACAGTTAGAAAAATTTGGAGCTTTGCACTCATTTATTTTTTTACATAAAGTTTCTAATGACTAAAAAAAGCAAATGGTCTAAAAGGGTTTAAAAAAAAATCAAAAGTTTCGCCAAATTTTTTGATTGAGGGTAATCACTTCGCCGTTTTGGTCGCTATTTTTTCTGAATTGTACAACTTGCTCCTTAGCCTTGTTTTCAGGGGCTTAAAGGTTTTGATAAATATGTGTAAAGTCAAAATCTAACTTTGATTTCGAGCAAACTTACTACAGAATTAAAACTTTCATGTCTAAACCAACACTGATAAAGCTGTCTTGAGCTCTAATCGAACTTTTTCCAGTCCTCTCAAATTATAAAATCAGTTCTGTAAACTCTTTTTATGAAAAATGACGAGAAACGATAAAAGATTGAACAATAAAAACCCTGTTTGTTAATTAACATGTAGGAATGACCTGACATTCTTTGAAGTTGACATTGCACATGATATTTTAAGATAAAAAATTGCTCGCATCAGGGCAAAGCATGAATTGTTCTGACTGCCTTTTACTTGGCCTCGAATAGTTTTTGGCAAACTTTTTCCTGATTAACTATAATGTTTGAAATTTGTTTTGTTTCCTCCAGAATAGTCAATATTAAATAGCCGTTAAAACTTCATTGGTATACTTAATTAAATTGACCGATCAATTCAATTTGGAATAACTTCGAGTGAGGGTTATTTTGCTATGCTTAAATAGCGCTTTCGCTTTTATCGTATACAGTTGAATTTTCAGCAGTGTGAAATATTTAGTAAAAAAACTGACCAAATTGGCATTTTTCAAACTCCCAATTTCTTCTTTTCAAGGTTACGGTTATTGTTCCGACTTCACAAAAAAATAGAATATTTATGCTCGGTGCTGTGTTTTTTATTCAGTCAATTTTTGCCGAGAAAAATAATAATTTTCAACAAAATAATTTTATGCTCCATTGAAGATATCGACTTTTTCAATGTAGAAAATGTTTTTAAAAAAATTTCGCCTCCAATTATTTTTGTTAAGTTTTGGCGGTTTGAAAATTGCCGTATTTGCCATGTTCTGGACTAAATTATGCGCACCTTGAAGAGTTTATGCATAATGCTGAGAGCGTAACGCGAATTATTTATGCGTGGCGAATTATCCCGCATAACAAAATCGTTCCAAATTTAATTGAGGCTAGCTAATTGGTCGTATTAATTTCGTACGACTCAACATTTCACACTTTCCCTTTTTTCCAAAATTTTAAGGTTTTCAATATTTGATTTTCCAAAAACTATTCGATATTAATTGAGGGACAGTCGGAACATTCGTGGTTTCGCCCTGATATACGAGCAGTCTTGTTTCGATATCTAAAGTTGGTCTCCGGGAAAAGTTAGGCTAATTTTATCCGTTATTTTACGCAAAAGTTGCAGCAAAACCGTACTACTTGTTTCGGATGCAAAATTAGTAGATTGATAATCTGTTTTTTTTTCAAATTGAGGTCAAAATTCCGTTGCTTACTGCGAAAGTCTCCTTACATTATTTTCTTAAAATTCACAAACTTTAAACTGGAAAAAAGATTCCTAGTACCAAGTTGAATCCTCGATTATCCTTTGACATCTATAAATTTGAAAAAACAATTAAAACTTGAAAATCCCCGCGTTTTGTTATAAAATGTTATGAAATTGATGCATTTGGTGTCCTGAAACGTAATCAAAAGATCAAATACTTTGTCACATTTTACTTTTGAATGGTTTTTAAGCCGGATAAATTCACCGTTTAAGCGTTTGCAGGCAAGTTTTACAACACGAACTAATTGTCAAATTGTAAATGATCTTATTAGGATGATTTAAAACCTCAATCAAAAAAACTGAGACTGAATTACAAAAAACTCATCGAGCACAATGCTTCTGTCGCTTTCTTCGAAAGTTGTAACAGGAGTCTCTTTGAGATTATCATGATTATTGCTTTGGAGGGACAAGCATTTTCATCGTGTTATGCCAATAAGTGGCCACTTTATGGTTTATAATAAGAGAAGTACCAATTTTTAAGTACTACTCGAAAAGAAAAATGGTTTCCATAAATCATGTAAGGGTGGAAAGTCAACAGATGTGAACAATTTTTTTCTTGATACAAATTGCAGTTTTATAATTTCAACCAAATCTTTTCCTTGAATTTTAAATGTTTCAAAAATGTTTTATAGGTTCTCCGATAGTATTCTGATTAAGAAAATAACAAATTTTGAACGTTCTACCGTCTTCATCCTCCAAAAGTTTCACAAGATGTTTATTGTTCCGACTTTCGATACGAAAGTAACGGAATATTTGTGCTCGAGGTGGGTTTTTTTTCTTCAGACAAATTTCGACTTTTTAACTAACCGTTTTTGACGGAACTTTTTTATATCATTCGAAAGGTATTGTTGTCTTGAGCTCAAATTTGAAAAGATATTTTACCTGTGATAATTTTTTGTAAAGTTATGGGGGTTTAAAGATTGCCATTTCGGCCAATTTGGGACAATTAACGCGCGATATATTTCGCGCTAGTAACGCGTAAGCGGAGAGTTAATCCGTCTTAGAAATCGTTCCAAATTGGTTAAAAGAAGCTTATTCGCCATAATTGGTTTGTTACAAGGAGCAAAATCTATCCTTTTATACTTTGTATGGCGTGTGGGGGGATGATTTTCATAAAAAATTTTCAAATTTTAGAAGAAAAAAAATTTTTCATTTTAAATTTTTCTTACATTTAATTTTTTAATGTTATTACTGCTCCATAAACCTTAAAAGGCAGTCTTGTTTAAATGTTCTCAGCAGGCTGAAGGTATTTTTCTTAAACTTTAAATGTTCCAAAGATTGTTTTGTAGGTTCTCCGATAGTGTTTTGATTAAGAAATTAACAATTTTTGAGCGTTCTACCGTCCTCATTCTCTAAAAATTTCACGAAAGAATTTTTTTCTCATTTTCTGAGCAGGCCTAAGAAGCTTTAATAAGGTAGCTTTCAGGAAGCTTTAAAGATCTCCAGGGGTAGTTTTGCTAGCAATCTGGAAACTTAACACAAGCAGTCTTAACTTTTTTTGGGTTTGGCTGTAATACTTTTAGGATAAAATACTTGAAACTCCACCGATTTAAATTATCATAAGCACTAAAGTGTCACTTGCATTCAAGGGTTTTTAAGATTTGGAGCAGACGCAAACTATCAATCATGCTCAGTATAATTTGCATACAAATTGGCTATATTAAAAAAGTATATCAAGAAGGATAAGATATAAAAAGAAAAATGGGTTTCCAGTGTAAGTCATTTTCCACAATACTATTTAAAAAATTACCAACGCCTTAAAAAACAGAAAAAAACTCTTGGCTAAGTTCACAGTGTTTTTGAAATCTTCCAAAATGCGAAGCATAACTCAAAAAGGTACAAATGTTTTTAATTCAAATTCGTCAGATTTTCAAAAAGTCTAGTTTTTATTTCAAATATAAAAATTGACTACCAACAAAGACGTGCATTTGATTTTGAATAAATGTTTGTACAGTTCAAAATGTTAAGTCATTTAATAGTGGCCGGAGTCTTTTCTGAGGTGTACTACTGCTCAACAAGCGAGACATCTGAATGATAAATTGGAGCATGCTTAAAAATGGTGACATTGATTAAAAAATCAGTCAATTATTATTTGAATAAAAATAACCAATAATTGCAAAAAACAGTAAGCAAGATTTTATTGTTCCGACTTTCGATACGAAAGTAACGGAATATTTGTGCTCGGGGTGGGTTATTTTTTCTTCAGACAAATTTCGACTTTTTAACTAGCCATTTTTGACAAAATTTTTTTATATCATTCAAAAGGTATTGTTATCTTGAGCTGAAATTTGAAAAGATATTTCACCTTTGATAATTTTTCGTCAAGTTATGAGGGTTTGAAGATTGCCATTTTGGCCATTTTGGCCAATTTGGGACAATTAACGCGCGATATAATTCGCGCTATTAACGCGTAAGCGGAGGTTTAATCCGTCTTATAAATCGTTCCAAGTTGGTTGAAAGAAGTTTATTTGCAATAATTGATTTGTTACAAGGAACGAAATCAATCTTTTTGTACTTTATATGGCGTGTGGGGGATGATTTTGATTTAAAAAATTTCAAATTTTAGAAGAAAAAAATTTTCATTTCATTTTATTTCTTTTAATTTTTTATGTTATTACTGCTACTCCATAAACCTTAGAAGGCAGTCGGAACATTCAGGGCTTCGCCCTGATACGAGCAGTCTTGTTTGTCTGTAAAATTCATTAGTTTGAGGTTAACAGGCATAAGTTAGTTTTCTGTAAAAAAACTAAAGGCCATTATTAGGGAGCGTTTCAGGGTCTTCCTCATATATTTCGTCCGACAAGAAAAACGTAGCAAAATAATTTGGCTTTACTACGTGTTTTATTCCTTCTAGAATGGTTATCAAATGCTATCATGCTGCTTTCAACTCTCATTGATTTGAACACAGTTTTTTTTTGTATAGTTCACTGAAAAAAAATTAAATCAAAACGGTGCGATTTTTAATCATGATTCTACTGAATCCAATTTTTCTTTGAAAATTTATGTCTGGACTTGTAAACAGCACCACAAATGCTTACTAATTTTTTAACAAAAATTAAGCTTAATTTTTGAAAGTTGATTTTGTATCGACCAAACACCTATATACTACAAAAATCAATTTTTTGAGTTTCTTTCTAACTTTCATGTACTGGCTTTCTGACTCATTGATGGTGAAAGGTTTTTTTTCAAGCAGTTTTTGCAGTGTTCTGCAGTTTCAACAAAAAATTCATTGACCAGTTTGTCAGCATGGGAAACTGCAGTACCGTCTAAAACAAAACAGTCTCAACTTTCCTTGAAGACAATTTCAAATCATTCATATAATTTAGTACATAATATTTCTCATTTGTTTATTGTACATAAAACTGATCCTGGCGATGCACCACAACAAGTCATGGGCTTTGTTAC